TTTTTTTTTTTATAAGAAAAAAAAAAAGATACAGTCTGGTGTTGCCGTGCTAACCAAGCCAAACTTAAACCTGCTAAACATCATATGTTTAGCAAAGCATGTTTAGAATTGTCATTGTGGCCGTGTTGCATGCAGATGTTAGCACTTAGCTCAAAGCATTGCTGTGCTTCAGTACAGGCCACACAGCACAGTTAGCAAGGCTGCAGACTCTTTTTCCAAATTATGTGGAACATGAAACTACTGCATTTTTCTGCTGTTACATACTGGAAACTATTGAAGAAGTTCAAACAGGGTAAATATTTTTTGGCCGTTTTGAATTTCATTTCAACTATGAAGCAGAAAATTATACAGGACTCTGTCTTCTGCTTTCCTTCTCTTTGCTCATAGGTTCCTCACTTAAGGCTTTGCAGTTCACTCTACTGTTGTAGCTACCAAGAGAGAAAAAATTAACTGCATGTTGTCACAAAAAAGTTCTGTGTGCACCCATCTCTTTTCTGGACAGTCCGTGTGGTTTCATCCCCAGAAGGGATTCATCTTACTTATGCAATACAAAGCATGCTGGTACTATGGTTTTCATGAAGCATTGGTATCACAGGAAAAAGGCAAGGGACAGTGCACAGAGAATAACCTAGTCACGACAAGCTGGAGGTTGCAACAAGCTTGTTCTAGTTCTAGCGAGTTCAAGTGTGCCAAGATGAAGCACTCAAAACTTGCCTGTTAGTCTTTTCTACAAAAATTATAATAAGAAACAAGAGTAAGCTCTGGATTCAGATTACCCTCTCTGTTTTGTTTCAGGCTTCTTCACTGAAGCTACATTATACATTTATGTCCAAGTACGGCAACTGCAACCCCCACAAACATGGGCATGTCATAAGGCATGACTATGCCCATACATACAGCTTCACATGGGAAGAGAGGCTCAACAAGGAGACAATGCAAAAAAAATTATAGCATATGAAGTAAAACATTGTGATAATACAAACAGTATAGGCTATATATGTAAAAAAAAAAAATACATATGAAAACCTGTTAGAAATTGGAAAAATATCATATAATTGACATATACAGCGGGTAAATAAGTATTGAATTTCGTCAACATTTTCCTCAGTTAATATATTTTTTCTGATGGGGTCTGTATGACCATGAAAATTGTCACCAGATGTCGGTAACAACCCAAGTTATCCAACAACATACAAAGGAAATTCAAAAGCATATGTGTCAAAATTAATTATGTGTAATAAAGTGGAATGACACAGGAATGAAGTATTGAACACATGAAGAAAGGAGGTGCAAAAAGGCACGGAAAGCCAAGAAAACAGCTTTGAAATCTGTCAGTATTTACAAAGCAATCCGGCCCTATCAGTGCCAAATTATATCGCTGTTTTAGTCCCTAATTGAATGGCCTATAAAAGGTTGTTCTCAATTACAAGGTGTCAACAATGGCAATTCCATATGGGTAAAAGTCAAAGAGCTTCTCAGACCTTTACGCAAACTTATTTGTAATTGCAAGCAATACGGGTGGCATTGGTTACAGACATATTCTCTAAACTTCTGAATGTTCCCAAGTGAGCAACCGTGGGGCCGTTACTCACGGAAAGTGGAAAGAACATTAATTTCACCATAAACGCACGACCAGGTGCTCCTTGCACAGATTTCTGACAGAGAGTCAAAAGAATAATCAGAAGAGTTGTCCAAGAGCAACGGACGCACTGGCAGAGGCTTTCCAGAAAGACCTGGAAATTATCAGGTACAGTTGTTTTCAAAGAAAAACAGTAATGTAATGCACTAAACCGTATGGCCCTCTATGCCACGCTCACTGCAGCAAGACTCCATTGTTGAAGAAAAAGCATGTTGAAGCTTCATTTGAAGTTTGCGTGCACAACATTTGGACAGCCTATGAAATACTGGGAGTATAGTCCTGATCAGATGAGTCAAAATTGAACCTCTTTGGATGTCATACATACACCATAGTTTGGGGGAGAAATTGGCACTGCACATCACCGCCAAAATACACTATACCGACAGTGAAGTTTGGAGGAGTGGGAACATCATGGTGTGGGCTGTGACAAATTTTACTTTTCAGTGGTTCGATGTAATATTTGGACAATAAGTTAATTGTTCAGCTGTTAAAATATCCTGTTGTTTTTAAATATCTTTTTCACAAGTGTATAAATACATATATACGATTTTTGTTAACTCCCTAATATCGGTATGCGGCCCGCAAAAATACAATATCGCAACTATCGTAGGGCTCTAGTCATAAGTCATAAAGTAGTAAAGAGCATAAGAAGGTCTATATTAAGGTTTGTTCCGATGGACGATGATTCGGTTGATGCGATGATCATCAGAACGATCCGCCGATTTGGCTCATGTCTTCGCAAATTGTCAAGGTGATATTTGGACTTGTTTTACCATTAATATGGTAACGTCATCTAATCTGTACGCTATTTAAATTAATACTAATTTAAATTTTGCCTGTCACAGTCTAACGTATTAAAACCGATGCTTCACACATGAGCGCCACACATGTGAACACTAGACCGATCAGCTGATTTGGTAGATGAAGCCGCTTGGTTGTGGTAGGAGCTGTTGTGAATTTAAGAGCAAGATAAATATTCACTTGAATACAGGCTGGGATCCTCTAAGTAAAGCCTTTTCAAGCAATTATTGACACTTTTGGTTTCAAACAGTTTGAGGCTGAACCAACCGATCACTGCTGGCAAAACATCTAGACTTGCTATCAATCCCGTGGGAATTTTGAGGTTATCTGTCTGACTTGTCTCTCTCGTCACTTCTGCAATCTCTTATATTTTTTTTATCAAGTTTTGAAGGCAACACCAGCCTGTCCACACATTAATGGCGCAAATGTATTTACCACACTCGAGGCCCTCGCTGCGTTTTCACTGTAGGCAATTGACTCCAATCGAATTTGTACTACTAATTAAACACAGCTCTGTCTAGCCCTCTTGGGCTTCGTTGCACCACTAAAAACAGAACGGTTAAAAAGGAGGTCTACACGCGTGGTTACTGGAAGAAACACCCGAGCCCTGAAAGCAAGGCCTGAGGAGATTGGAGGGCAAATGGTGCAAATCAAAATTCTTGACCGCACTGACTTTCAATGGCACAGGTCCTGTGTTAAAATACACGTGTGCTCTCCCCTTGCTAGATGGCCGGCTCTTCTCTCGGTTATTAGTAACCAATAACACAATCATAGATTTCTTTTTTGATACTGGTAGCTAAACTCAACTCAGGCAGGCAGCCACCTCTTAGCTGCTCGCCCTTTAAGCCCATGACTTTCTAGACTTTTTTCAGTAATAAAATAGGCGGATTAGACTAAAATCACCTCTTTTTTCGCAGCTTCTACAGAACGCAGCAGAGCCATTATATTGAGTCCCTTTTACTCTGCATTTTAACAAAATTCGAGACCTGTCTCTTGAAGGACTGTTGAAGATGGTTTTATCTTCTAAACCTACATCTGTTCTGCTGGATTCTACCAGCTAAGCTCTCAAGACTCTGGCGCAATGCTTGGGAACTTTTCAGTGCTGAACTTATTCATTTATGACTCACTTCTGGCAGCTGTTCCCCAGCAGCTTTAAGCTACTGTTGTTAAGCCTTTACTTAAACACACCTTGATCCAGGATGCTTATAATTATCGACCAGGTTTCTGTCTTTAAAAAGGAAGTTTTTCCTTGCCACTGTCGCCTAGTGCTTGGTCCTCTGTTTAAATAATATTATAACGAGAAGGTTTGAGAATGCCTGCTCGATTTGGAAGTGCTTGTGATAACTATATGTTGTGAATTGGCGCTGTAGAATAAAATTGACTTTTGAAGAGAAAGAA